CATTTAAGATCATTTTAGTGAAAGTTTCATCCTTCAAGGCGTACCATTCACTGCTGAAATACTAAACAACCTGCTTCCATGGCCGAGATACAGGGCGCCCATATTATAAGGTAAGGTTATAAAACCACCATTTAAGATCATTTTAGTGAAAGTTTCATGTTCCTATCTCATAGAATTTAAGAACAATGATGAATAAATAATTTTCGAGCAAAATTTAAATGGCCGGCTGAATATATTACCGCAGGAGCCACGGCCGCGGAATTTAAATGACCACGTCAAAGGGTTAATGACACCCCGGAATTTGTGGAGGGAATCTCATGCTTCTTCCATGAGGAACTAGAAGCAATGCGATACTGCAGTCTGTCGCATATGGAGAGGTGGAGTTTCCTCATTATGGAAGAGTGCTGTGGGCTGCTGGCGATAGAAATTGTTTCAGGAAAGCATTGCGATTTAAGCACCTATCTTACCAAGAGAGCGAGAGTTGTGTACCTGATTTGGTGCTGGAATCCAAAGAATAATTCCAAGAAACAATATTGATGCAGAATAAACCAATGCAACAAATGAGAGCAGACGAGATGTCCGGTCATAGTGGCTGCGGACCCTGTGTCCTCCCCGCAGACCCAGAGACCTTATTGAAGTGAACTTTATGTGTACCATCTTCAAGCAGAAAGGAACAACTGTGTGACATTATGGCACCATGTCACAATCTTCTAATCCCAGCGATGCAGAGCTTATATTCAGTTGGCCCCAGAAGGAGGGCTGGCACCGCCCGTAGGATAATACATTGCACTGAATCAGAATCCCCTGCAACTGGGTCATATTATTTTGTACACCATAGATTTCTCTGTTTGTGTTGAGTGTTTGAACGTTTAATGTATGTATCATATTTGTTCTTGTCATAATTTAATACCCAAACTTTCATGCTTTTCCTGTTAACAGTAGCCTGTAATAACATGTGTGTGTCTAAGTATTAAATTATAAAGTATTGAATATGTCAATTTCATTGTCATCACTAAAGCGTTTATCTTCTTTGAGCATTTATAACGTGTAACATACCCCTTGCAAGGAATGTTTGTGGAAACCTGAAGTCTTCTCAACTGTTTACGTATTTCTTTCGATTGTCAACTTCACAAAAATCGAGCAAGATAAGAAGCTGAGCATTGCCAGTTTTGTATGTATTTCTCATCAGTTCTGAGAGTGCTATATGTCCAACCCATGAGCTCTTCCTTGCCATAATCATCTTAGTAATATTTCTTGTGGAGTAAAAATGATGGGAATCCCATCATCCTGTACAGTGCCTTTTCCATCCCCTTGTTACTTTCTCCTCAGAGCTCCAAATATTCATCTTAGCACCGTTTTCAATAGCCTTCAGTCTGGAAGATTCTAAATGGTTCTGACAATGGTGCATGTAACTCAGGACTGCCGGCTTTTTGGACTTTGCAGTCCTGCAGTGAAGGCAACACCACACACTGCTAGAGGGAACAATGCACAAGCAAGGGGCAAAATTACAGATTGCAGACATAACACAACAGTGGGCTTACGAATAGTAAAATGCACTGCCACAATAAAATATCTGTAGTAAAGGATACAGATCAAAACAACTGGATGATGACCCATGTGAAGTGTAATAAGAATTTTACAAAATCTAAAGGAAATGTTAATACAAAAAAAAAAAAAATTGTAATAGATTTTATAAATTTAAATTAAGTGTACCACAGCGTGCACTATTTTAGCACATTCCAATTGACTACAATTATGACGTTTGTGTGTGCAGTCACATATGCGACGGATCGACAATATTAGTGCAGTGTAGCAGTAGTAAGACACCTGAATCTAGCCATTTAGGGTGGAAATATGTTGTGTCGAAAGTGAAAGTGTTAGAAAGAAGGAACAATTTGTTGCACTGTTGACAGACTGTGTAGTACAATAAACAGTAATAGATATAGTAATGCAACAGGATGCTTAAATACTGGAGTGAAAGACATAATATTTGAAACCTAGGTTGAGGAAACATGTAATTGGATGCAAACTTCTAAGGTCTACCTTTGATTTTAGAATTTTTTAACTTAGGTTTTAATTTGTTATTTGTTATTATCTTATATCATATTTACCACACCTTGAATTAAATTGATATTAACATAAATAAGAATATTGTTCTATATAAATGGACTATAATTGTAATTTGTAACAGTTGCAGACTTTATGAAACACTGTGATAGTGCTTAATTGACATGAAAGTAATGTAGAAGCTATGAACCTAGTGAAATGTACTGGAAGCAAAAATCTGTTATTGGCATTAACTAAATTAGAGCACTGGATCTATATGTAAGAGATTAGTGTATTACTTATATAGTATTTTATGTTATACAGTAATTTTGTATGTATCTTTCACACTGCATGCTTACACTGTACTTTCAAATTCAGTTCTTGGGCTTCAGCATGTCAGTCTGATACTGAAACTGAAAGTGCCATGTGCCATGCACATCCAGTATTGACTTGAACAGAGTTTGTGTTTGTGAATGTGACACAAAGGAACTGACAACTAATACTTTCAACTGCTTAGTTTGGCATGCATCGCAGCCATGACATTGCACAAGAAAGTACTCATCATAATGGACTGCTAACATTTTTGTCATCAACCAAGCTTGTAAAGTGCATTTCAGTTTGAAAATATCAATATAGAAATATCTTCAGTGGTTTAAAAAATTATACATAATATATGATTGCAATTTTAAGTTGTTTTTTAAATATTGTACGAATATATGAACTTATATGCCTGTAATCCAAATTTCTGTCCAAGAGATGTCCCAATGTCCCAGTTCCCTGTATTGCAGACATGCTCAGTGCCCACCAACTTGTGTTCTGAGAGTTATGCAACAGTCAAGATGAAAATCACAGTAATGTGTTAATATCTCAGTATTTCAAGGCAGAGAGGTGGAAAAACTTATAAACAATGCTTGATTGCTTGCAATACACCTAATTATTAATGTTTTAAGTTTTTAAAATGTGTTTATTCTCAATTTGAGATATATTTAAATCATATAACCCTTCCATGACTGAGAAGGAGAATATTGTCGTGTGTTGGGTATGTCACGCGACAAATAACTTCACGTGGGTCTTGGATTTAGTGAATCTTTATTGAATACTCACTCTTACAATTATCACTTGCAATGTCACTTGACTTCTGGCCTAATACTTCAATATTCAGTATTCTAATACTCAACTTCTGTTTGAGGCCAGGCCCTTTATATGAGGTGCATGCGGACTCTATAGAGGACACCCCTCACCAAGGATCGATCTCGCGTGTTCGGCAATCCGTTTCTTCAGGAACATTCCTTATAGAGTACACTGGTAATGTGTTTTGTCTCATCTGTTGTTACTCAATAATTCGTTGCTATGATTTGTCGCTGTGGGAACTCCAAAATTTCCACGTGTTTGTTGTCGTGGAAGTGTCCGTTCTGATTGTAGCAGTTGTCGTGGTGATGGATGTAGGGTAATGCATCACAATATCTTAATGTCATATATGAAATGTTAGCATATACAGATAATCAAAACTCCCTTTCAGATGTTAATTATGTTTCAGCTTGGGTGAAGTACAGATCCTACATAATTAAAAAGTACAAGGGTAGTAGCACTCAGACAGTAAGGGTTTATAAAGGCTGTGCCATAGCTCAAGCGGTTAGTTGCTGGCTTCCCACTGTGGTGCCCCGGGTTCGATCCCGGGTCTGGTCAAGTGGGATTTGTGGTGGACAAAGTGGCGCTGGGGCAGGTTTTCTCTGAGTACTTCGGTTTCCCTCGCCAATCTTCATTCCACCGGTTGCTTCACAATCACCCTCACCTATCATCTGGCGCTGGTACAATAGGCCAGAAGTGGCCACAGTACAAGGGACTTAGTCCCACCCCACTAGCAAAAAGAAAGGTTTATAAATATATGGATACATAAAGACTTAGTGAAATAAGTGAAAAAAGATTCAGTATTTGCTGTTTCTAATTATGTCAGCACTTGAGCTCTTCTTGATCCATGTCCAGATGCCGCTGTTCTCAATATCTGCCACTAGTGAATGTACTAATAGAATGGTCGTATTATTCAGTCTGCTCTGAGTGTCTGCTGACTTTCACATAATATGAATCAGTCCATAATTCCCATTTCTGGACATATAATAAGTCTGTCCAAGAGAATTATTTTCAGCAAAGTAGGCATATTAACAGTAAATTAAAATATACCAGTATTATACTTGATACTGTCCTTCATCTGGGGTTTACATTCAGAACATTTTAAAAGTTTGTTGTACTCCAGTCATCAGGTGACTGGTTGTTATTGTTAAATTACTTTCACTGTTGCGTGACGTGTTTACTGATTGCCTAGCAATAGCCGCTGCACGGGCTCCCCTGTTGCCTGACGACATGTTTACAAAGGCATTGCTGGGCAATGCTGCATAGAAACCAGCCCACTTCGGCTTGGCTCAGCACGGACAAACACCGCTTTCCTTACTGTTGCGTAACTTGGCAACCGACCGTTTATCAAGGGTCTGTCTTCGTGGTAACTTGTTCCACCTCCCGTTGCCCAGCAAGGGTTAGACATGTCACGATAATATAGAAAGTCTGTGTAATGGTTAAAAGTATATGAAAAAGACCTCTTACTGTAATGCCAACAGTAAGTCAAAGACAGGACCAGAGTTAACTTCTGAAATGTTGTGTGTATCAAATACACCTCAGACAATGGGCAGTAAGTATTTAACAAGATATTGGTATAATAAATCAGCCACTGTCACTCACCTTTAGAGAGCTGAGGGTTACAATCTTATGATGGAATAAATTTCTCTCTGCCTTGAGGACTTCGTGGTTCTTAATGAAGCTTGTTAATTCATTATGAATGTTTTTCAGGCAGAACTGTAACAGTGCAGCTGCATGGCTTCATTGTCTCATCTGGTAAATAGTATTAAGGCTTTATGGTAATGGCTTGGTCTTGCTGCAGGATCTCCTTCCTGATCCTTCCCTTGAAGTCATCCACACACCAAGTGAATGACTCTCTCTACAAAGTGACAAGTGTTTTGTTCTATTGTTAATCTGATGCATTGGCTTGAATATTATGCATTATTTGGCTAACATTTCACTTTTCCAATATTAAGTTTAGTCCTACTGTGACTGGTTAACACTGTAAACACAATATTGGTTACATTCGTGCAGTAATTTTCAAAGGAGAGAGTCACAGTTGACCAAGAAGATTTTTATGTAAAATTTTGATTCAAAATCAATATATGTAATAATTGAACAACTCTCTTATAATTGATAACATGTCACTCTGTTGTAGTGTTCATATATGCATGAAATATGGATTGGTGTGTTGGCTTTCATAATGAGGGGAACACATTATCAGGGCTAGTCTTCATAACACCTGTAAGAGATGAATTCAAATCACAGCACCTAGTTTGAAATACTTTTTGTCTAAATCTATGCCATCTTCATTTTAAGTCAGTGTTGTGATGAGAATATTATACTGATGTTCACACCATGTAGGATTTTGTTTTAATGTTAACATTCTAGGAAGGTACACTTCTCTTGTTAGTACTTCCACAATTGTGTCTAGTTCTTATGTTGTATTCCTCTACAATTTTATATCAAATTTTGTTCATTGTCAGATATTTTGGAAAGAAAATAAATATATTTAAACCTTTCATGTTTTCTTTTTCATTGATATAGAAGGTAATAGAAGTGTTGTTTTATAATGTTCACAGTGTTAAGCAAATATACTCTCAAACTATGAATTTAGTAATCCTGCTAGACCTTTTTTTTTACAACAGTCAATTATATTGATCCAGATTAGTTTTCCATTAACACTTGTAGGTTATTATTGTTCTTTATTGTAATCTTTGGCCTCATGCTAGAGAAGACTGATGTTCAGATAAAGAAATGAGATATATGTTTGTGTAGGACTTTTATGTAAGCTCAGTTTTGTACCACAACTACACTAAGTTAATTAACGGTTTTATAGTAGAATTAATGCACTTTACTATAGAAAAATAGCTCATAAAGATTATGTCTTCAATTTTTAAAAAATTACATTAGTTCCTGGTACTGGGAAAAAAAGATGTACATTTAGGTATTTTCACTACTAAAAGTGGACCTTATTTAGTAAGAGAGCCATAGCCCCATCCATTCCGTATTGTTGTGTTGATGTGACAAGAGAGAGACCCTCCCCTGTTCTCTTGCAGTCGACTATGATGAGTCTGATCCTGATGACGAAACGTCGGAAGACTGCAAGTGTTCTCTGTGCCAGAGACGCTTCGAGGAGCAAGGTAACTGGCTACCCATTATGTCTGTCCCCTCCCAGCTCCCAAAATGCAGGATGACCAGGGTGGCAGTCAAATGAAATGCCTGGCTCTAAAGATTGTTTTAAGACTTTCTCAGTTTCCATTGTCTTGTTACTCATCTGTTGTTTTCCATTTGCAAGCAGTGTGGTTCACAACAGCACTGCAGGAGTTAGAATTATAATTGTATTTCAGTATTTTAGTATATAGTATTTCTGTGTCAAGTGACATATATTACTGGCCATACTGTATTTCTGAATTTTTTACTTAATTTATTATCTTTGGTAATCCAGGCTGAGATGGAGATCACTTTGAATTTGAGAAACATGTGCTATAGTAGGAAATGCATACTCAAAATTCAAAATGATTTCTCCACTTACACATCTGCAATGATCACATGCTACTAACCTGTGCATGACATTCATAACCTGCAAAATGAAGGTTTATAGATAACAGTAGCTTGTAAATGTCTATGGTATATACATGGCTCTAATGGCATAACAAATAAGATAGGTTAAACCTCAGCATTTGTACGATATTTTATATAGCGGGATGGGATTTCAGATATCTGAAAATTCAATTGGTGTCTATATAAAATTTTGACACCTGTTGCAGTTCTTCTTCAGAAGAAATGTATTATGCATTGAATGTTAAAATAACATATTTGGCAGAGTTCTGAATATGAAAAACCAAGCAAACTTTTTGCATTCTAAAGTGCATACTTTTTATGATGTGATCATAGCAGATGTTGCTTGCCCCGCCTCACGTATCTGTCCTGCAAGAGGGAGCTGGCTCCAGTTGAGGAGGATCATGTAAGTGACTTCAAGTTTCTCAAGACCAGGACATTACCATACAGCCTGTAGTACCAGTAGAGATGTAGCAGAGAGGTCTGTTGAACACAAGAACTGCAGTACTATGGCTTTTGTCCATCATCCTTCACAATACCATTGTCATTGATGTACAGCATGTTACTTGTGTGGGATTAAGACAAACTTGCAGTAGGCTGAACTCTGCATTATTTTAAAATATTCTCTCTTTTATCCTACCTCCCAGTGAACATTTTTATTTTGACCTGTTATAATTTTCTCAGCATGGTAAGGTAATATCACTGGACCTCTTACCGTGACTCAGTAATGTTTGTTCAGGTAGGATTATGTAAGAGCGTTCTTTTTTCTACTCTGTCCTGTCAATGAATGTTTTTATAATCCACAGTAACATGGCTGTAGAGGCATGAATAGAAACTGGTAACAAAATACAATATCCTTTCCATATAGTTTCTCTTGTTTTGTTTTCTGCCTCAGATTTCTGTTATGTTGAGCCTCGATCCTGCAAATTATGTAAAGGCGTGTCTTGTTGAATTGTGCAAAACATATTCATGAGGTTTCCAGGACCTTTTAAATGGACATATCCCATTGTATAGGTGTTAAAAATTACTTTTATTTTGACACTTCATGTTTATAATAAGAAGAAAAACTGGGGTTCTTGTACCTCCATCAAACTCATGTTCTTTAGGTTATAGGGACACTGATGACACAATGGATATTGTCCAATTAAGAAGTTCATCCTCTGCAACAGATCCGATTGCAACCACCCCAGAATACCAGCAAGGGATTTATAAACGAGGTATGATTTATTTTCCAGTTAAATTTTTTGGATCATTGTAAATTTTTATTTAATTCTGTAAGAAATATCCATTTTTTACTTCGTGTGTACACACTTTGACCACCTCTGTGGTCTAGTGGTCAGAGTTCCTGGCTACAGGTCCAGAGGTCCGTGTCCAATTCCCGGCACTTCCAGATTTTTTCTGAGAAGCAGTGGGTCTGGAACAGTGTCCACTAGCCTCATGATGATAATTGAGGAGCAATTTCAAGGAAATAGTGGCTCTGGTCTAGAAAACCGAAATTAACGGGATTTGTAACACTGACCACATGACATCGTCTATCCGCTAAAGCTGGCACTAAATTCGCCGACAAGTAGTGGTCGCTCAGTCGGTATAGTTCGCTTGCGGACTAAAACCACATAGTTTGTTTTGTTTTGTTTGTGTACACACTTTTCCTATTAAGCTACTGCAATTTTTATAGAATTGAACCTTTATTGTAATACGCAATTTACATACGATATATGGGAAAACTCTGTCCCGCTTAACAGTTAACAGTTAACAGACTCTGATGAAGTTCTTGGGTCATAAACATTAATGTAGAAGTTATACGTAAAAATTTTGTTCCTTTTTATATTGTTTATTTACCTAGAACCATTTTCATTTCTCTCCATTGGGAAAGAGAATTTACCAAATGAGTGGTATAGTGGTAGATATTCTTGTCTTATATTTGAGAAGTGCCCGGTTCGAATCTTGGCCAGAACACTGGCTATCCTGTTTTTTTTTTTTTTTTTTTTCTCCGGTATATGCTAGGATGGTAATTTCATTCCAAATCCTTTCCAATTTGTCATTCACCTGTTATTCTAGCCTTCAATATTATAATAGTCTAGCTACTCACAGCATCATAAAATAGCCTACCAAGAAAGAAAAAGGAAGAAGACAGGATTTATTTCCTGTAACCATGAGTAAGTGAGGGAGTGAATTTTATAGCATGTTGTCACTCCAATTCTCTAGTTCATGCAGAGGCTTATCAGAACGTGCGTGTCATTGTTAACAACCTAGACTGATCCATCTCTGTCTGATTGTCTAGATAATGTGGGACTGTCTACATCTCACAACCCTATGGGCCTTCACGGCCTGGTACAGAGATAGCTTTACTTTTTTACTTACTTTACATGTACTGTTGACATTTAAATCTTGTTTGTGGTATATATATATAAAGATGATAAAGGAGCAGAGGGGACCCAATTGTGAGCTCAAACAAATTTTCACCAAATTTGCTGTGCACAGCTTCCAAAACAGCTTCTGTAAGGCTGGAAGGAACCACATGACTAAATACCTCAAGTAAAAACAAAAAATAAAGCTGTCCCTGTACCAGGCTGTGAAGGCCCATAGGGTTGTGAGATGTTGAGGGTTCCACATTATCTAGAAATCGGCTCAAAGATGGTGGTAAGGTTGTCAGCCTTACGCACTGGCTGCACTTTACTCCCCAGGAAAATTATTTAATTAATTCCTGGTACTCATGTAGATGTGTATTTTTTAAGTGAAGACAGTGTTGTCTAAAGAACTGTGCCAGAAAAAAAACAAACAGCAAACTCAGTATCTGCTGATCTGTGGAGCCCTCTGCAGAAGAAGCACCTTCTGAACTGTCTCCCTGGACTCATGCACATTGCACTTAATTTTAAAAACATAAAACGCCTCCTAGAAACCAATTTTAAAAATATTTGATTCATTTATCAGTATGTAAGATCACTTTTGTTGACAGATCATTGCTCACCATCAAAAGTTGACTCCATATCCTTCAGACATCAGAAAGAGGGAGAGCTGTTCAACTGAAAAAGGAAACTAGATAACTGGCACATAGTGCTTTAGTTTTATGATACTTTTAATGTGTTCAGAATATTCCACAAAATAATGCTTCTCTACCTTCTAACAGAATTCCGCTTATTCTGATAAGAAGCTATCAAACAAGTTTTATTACACGTTTAATGAGATACTATGTCACAATTGAGAGAAAGTGTACATTTGTTGGGGCATAATTTCTTCCTTGAGAAAATCACATTCAGTTGCTATAAATATAAATGTTAAAAAGAGATACTGGATATTCAAAATTCAGCTCATTGTTTACTTTGCAATCTCAGAATCTGGATGGTGCTGTGGTAGAGTGACCCATATGAAGGCCAGTGCGCAGCATGCGCTACTAGTTCTGCTGCAACTCATTGAATCTGTTACAGGGAATTACAGTTGCCTTAAAGTGGACCTGATTTTCACACGTGATCGAGCATTCTACTTCACAACTGTTTTCATACCAGGCATCATATTGGTCACGTCTTCTTTCATCACATTCTGGCTTGAGTGGAATGCCGTCCCTGCACGAGTCATGATTGGTAAGTTTGTTTCTACATTGTAAACAACTTACAGAAAGAACAAGAATTTTGTATTGCTCCAATTATGGTTTCAAACATACTAAATTGAGCCATAGAGCAAAATAGCCTGTTACTGAGTCCACCACTGGAATGTATCCTAAACCAGATCCTCAGACACTATATCTTTAAGATCCACATCATTATTGTCTGCCATCTATGTCAAGGTTGACCATGAGGTCTCTTTCCTTCAATTTAAAGATATTGGTAAGACATGAATCCAAAACTACATTATGAATTATACAAAAATGTACTAATCCATGTTATATTTGCTCCAGTGTGTTTCCATGTCTATAGTTCAACACTTCAAGTGGGAGGAGGTTCAATAAGCTGCATATTGTGGCAGATATATACTATATAATAACTGTTAACAGTGTTACAATTAATTGTATTTAGCGTCAATGATATCTGTTACTCTCTGCTAGAATTTAAGCAGTGATATGCAGTCACATTCTGTTCTACATGATGTTCAGATTCCTGTAGGACTTAGACATTAAGTAATCATTTACAACATCACAACATTACTGTGCCTGAGCACCATCCTATTCACCAGACCTAGCTCCCTGTGACTGCTGCCTCTTCCCAAAAATCAAGTTGGTGCTCAAAGGAACCCATTTGTTGTTAGTAGAAAGTGAAAGTAAAAACGATGAAGATTCTCAACAGCCTTTCAGAAAGTGATCTGCTGATTGCTTTGAACGTTGGCAGCATCGTATGCAGCTGTATGTTGACTCAGAAAGGAACTATTTTGAAGGAGATCCTAGTTGATTTTCTCAATTTGTTACATAAAAAGAAATACATGCACAGTCTCATTCTTTCTGTGTCTGTGTCACTAACATTTATGAAGAAATTGAGAGTGTATTGAATTTGGAGAATGCTTGCCGCAATTCAGTTCAAAATCTTTTGTCTACTTTTTCAGTGTCTAAAAATGCTAAGACTAAAATATTTTATCTTATTTTTAGCCTTATCTCTTCATGGGTTTGTCATCTACAGTTTCCACCATAATCTGTTTTATTTAAATGTATGAAAAGTATAATTTTAGTTGTTTTTTGTATGGACGTGAAACTTGGTCTCTTGCCCTCATTGAATATGCTTGAGAAAGGATGCTGAGACAAATATTTAGAGCTGATAGACAAAAAGGAATGGGAAGCTTAAGAAAAAATGCATGATGGGGAGCTTCATAATTTGTAATCTTCACCAAATATTGTTAGGGTGGTTAGAGCAAGGAGGATGGGATTAACAGGACATGTGTGCATAGAACAAATGAGAAATACATACAAAATTTTAGCTGCAAAATCTGGGAAGATTTCCTGCTTGAGAGATCCAGGTATGGATGAAAGGCTTATATAAAAATGGATCTCAAAGAAACAGGCTCTGAGAATGTGGACTGGATTGATCTGTCTCAGGATATGGTCCTGTGATGTGCTTCTGTGAACACTAGTAATGGATTTTTAAATGCCATAAAATGTAGGAAACTTCTTCTCAAGAACTGAAGAAAGATTCATCTGCATGGAGATACTTATGTTATTATGTTATTATCAAGACTTAAAGACTTTTGACTATTGTGCAGCTTTCTTCTTTTTGGTGCTTTTTATCCATATTTTCTTGAATGCTAGTGGGGTGGGACTAAGTCCCTTGTACTGTGGCCACTTCTGGCCTATTGTACTAGCCCCAGATGATAGGTTAGGGTGATTGTGGAGCAATTGGTGGAATGAAGAGGTGATTGTGGAGCAATTGGTGGAATGAAGATTGGCAGGGGAAACCAAAGTACACGGAGAAAACCTGCCCCAGCACCACTTTGTCCACCACAAATCCCACTTGCCCAGACCTGGGATCGAACCCGGGCCACTGCGGTGGTAAGCCAGCGAATATCTGCTTGAGCTATGGTGCGGCCTTTTTATCTATAAGTTAAAATTCATCTTGAGAAGTTTAATTTTCTTCCTCAATGAAAGTGAGTTAATAGGTGTTTAGGAGCACAACACTGTTTGTTTGTGTTTCTGTGACTGTGTAACCCTCCTTCCACAAAACTGATATTAATGTTATGCCACTAGAGGCCAACCCAATGCTGTCATTATTGTCTTAGAATTGCTAACAGTGACATCGATATTACATGTATATAATATGCAGTAATTCACAAGTTTCCTCTTCTTATGAATCTTTTGGTTTCAAGGTGTGACAACGATGCTCAACTTTTTCACCACCTCAAACAGTTTCCGAGGTACATTGCCTGTGGTGTCAAACCTGACAGCCATGAATGTCTGGGATGGCGTATGTATGTGTTTCATATATGCAAGTCTGCTGGAATTTGTATGTGTGAACTATGTGGGACGCAAGCGGCCACTACACAACGTGGTGTATCGGCCGGGAGAGAATCCAGTGACACAAGTAAGATCTGTATTTCCATCAAATTAAAAAGCTTATGTTTGTTTGCTCTTGCTTGCTCAGTTTGGGTTGGTTGGATGTCTTGGTTTTACTGCATTATCAACAAATAGTAGATTTTAAGAGTATTGTGATGGAAAAGAATGTGTCTTGTCATTCTCACTCTGTTGAATGACATTTCAGTTTCCCTTTGTCTAAAATACTTAATAGAAGCTGGAGGAGATAATATCTGTTCATGTTCAAACTTCAAAAATAAAATACACAAGGTGTGAGTAATTGAGATTTTTTCTTACAATTAATCTATCTCAGAAATTACATAAATTGACGGTTTTAATGGTTTCCAATGAAAGCCCCTCCATTTTCATCAGTGTGAGTTTGTGTTTAAAATATAATTATTTTGGGGAGGCTCTGTGTTTTCATTTTTCACGTGCATTTCTTTCAAAAGTGAAGACTTTGAAGACAGTTAACAGAAATTAAGTAAATTCTTCCACAAAAATCTGTACCAGTAAGAGTGATGAACTGCGGAACAACAGAAGTCTCTGTGCATACTTTTGTAAATATACTGTAACCGAAAGACTGTAAGATTAAACCAAGTTTTCTAGTTCTGGTTACCGATAAATTCTTTACTTTATATATCCTTGAAGAGAGAAAGTTTCTTATTATGACGCAAGTCTGAGTAGCATAATTACTTGTGTGATGTTCAGAGTCTATGCATATGAATTGTCTGTGACTGTCCACCTACCCTCAGAATCTGAATGCTTTACCCAGTTACGAGAAGATGTGTATATTCAGCAGAACTCTAGAATCATCATTGTATCATGATTCCTACTTTATATATTTGTTTAGCTTTAAATGAAATGCAGGTACGAAATATGTCCAGTGGATCTAATACATATTACAAGGTTACCAAGTGGGTACTAAAGCCAGTAATGGAAGATCGATTGTTTGATGTGGAAGTTGCTTTGTTGTAGACAACCTCACCAGTCAGAGATGAAGTCTGAATACAGAATTTCAGACCAGATAACTGTTAGTTAACATTGTAGTATGAAAAAGAACTGAGTAAGAATAAAAAGTTCTAAAATAGTTAGCATAATGACTTGTATATTTTTCAAGAATTTGCACTTTCCTTTTTCATTGTCAGCATAATATTAAAAATCTAGAGGCAATATGAGAACAAATGCATCAGAATTGTTACACTGCGATTACTTTTCCAAATTTTCTCTATCGGTTGTATTTTCACAGTCCATTTTTGTCCCTGTTGTTGGTGCAATCCATCTGGTTTTGTACAGCCTCCATACATGTTATTTTTTTGTTTGTTTTTGTTTCTGAAGCATTCATGACAGTTTATTCTTCATTATTGTTGTAGTTGACATTACTTCCAAATTCCATTTAAATGTCTTCTTCCTTGATTTGCTTATTACTATCACCATGGGGCCTGATTTATTTTTTCCTTTCTTCTTTTTTCACGTGTTTCAAGCACTGAAAGCTATTGTTTTAGTCAGTTAACAGATTTGTTAGCATTGAGACTATGTAGCAACAGATGATAGAATGATTGATGAAATGGAAAGGGGTTTGGAGGAAAGTGATCTTGGTTTGATTGAGGTATTATCACAGAATTCCCCTGGAGGGAATGTGGAAAATGATGAAAAACCTTTGTCAGGACAACTGGTGTCCCAGCTGAGATGTGAACTGAGCACATCTCTACGGCAGATCCAGAACGTTAGTGCTAGATGAACATGTTTGGTGTAATTTATGTTGTTCTTTTTTAAATTACTTCATACTTTTGGTTGAAACAGAGCTACTTTTCTGTGAACAGGAAGCCATAACTTTAAATAAATAAATAAATAAATAACAAAAACTCATGACTTACTCTAGGTCCAACATGCTGTAATGAAGGGCTCTTGCTGCTAAAGTTAAATCTAATTTGTATGATGTGGGACCACCTCTGTGGTCTAGTGGTCAAAGTTCCTGGCTACAGATCCAGAGGTCCAGGTTTGATTCCTGGTGCTAACAGATTTTTTCTGAGAAGTAGTGGGTCTGGAATGGGGTCCACTCAGCCTAATGATGATAATTGAAGAGCTGTTTCAAGGAAATAGTGGCTGTGGTCTAGAAAACCGAAATTAACGGGCATGGGGATTTATTGCGCTGACCCTCTATCTGCTAAAGTTGGCGCTAACTTTGCCGACAAGCGGTGGTTGCTGTGTTTAAATTTATAAAACAAATCAATGTTATAGTTTACTTGATAATTTTTTTCTTCCTAGTGTTTTACCAGCCCTTCATAACAGAAATATTGTCTAGGCCAAAACACTAAATAGATACAACTTTAAGATCTCATAAAACAATTTGTACTGGTAAAATCAGACATTTTTCTATAATCATTCATAATGTGAATTGAAAGCAGTAATCATTTTGAAGTGACATGGCTCCTATGCTCACTGGATTTATCAGCATCAAACATTTTCCTATGGGGCTACATGAAAGACAATACCACAATAACCCCTGCAATCAAGATGAACTGAAAACTAACATATTCAACATTAGTGCAGACATTTCACCACTAATGCCCCAAGCAGTGTTTACAAAAGTGGTTTTTTGTGCTCCCTTGTATATGTGGCATACCGGTTTACAATTTCAAAACTTTTGTAACAGGAGGTATCATAAACTCCTGGTACTGAAAAAAATTCTTGTTTAAAAAATCATCATGATGCACATACAAGTTTCACCAAAAGTACCTTAGCCCTCTAATACATGATATTATTAATGTTCCTAGCAATGGATTCTCTTTGGGGGAAAAAAAATCACTCTGTGGCAACAAATGTTACATAGCAGTAAATTAATAATTAATTGGCCTGAACTGAATTTTACTTCTTGACTGCAAACGCTAGGAGAGCCATATATAGTTTGCTTTCCCTTTAATGCATCTATGTATTTATTATGATCATCACAGTACTGTTATTGAATTTCACAATGTAAATTGTTGCTTGGAAAGTGATTTTAATCGCATTCTATACTGTATATAATATATACCTATGTGCCAACTGTGTGAGTGATATGGACATAGACATTCTACAATACATGTCTCCCTGCCTCTTCATAATCTATATAAATAGGATGATAACTACAGTTATGTTCCTATATGTATGTATGTTATATAGTTGTAGCATGCCTCTGTCAACATACGAGGCATTGCCTTTTGTATTTGAATCAAGAATTGAGAGCACTAGGAAGCACAATTTGTGTGAAGCATGTGCATGGATTTTTATTCATTCTTTACTTCAAAATAAGTTCTCTGAAATTGTGTGTCTAAGAGAATGGTTGACCCCAAAAGTTTTTGTTGAGTTGGAGTCCAATATCCCTTCCCAATTTGTATTGCTGTCAGTGCAAGGCCAGTTGCAAATTATTGTCTGTGTTTGTCAATATATCTTCATCAGGAAAGCTCTTACATTGTATGTGTCCCTATAAATTTTATCAGTTTTAGGACTGTTTTTTCTCATTGTGTTATATGTTAAGCAGTAATCACATTGACAAAATTAATCACTGCTTTTGTATTTGTGTTTGCTTGTTGACTGAATTGTTACAGTCTACATTATTATATTTTAGTAAAGCAAAGGTTTTGTAATATTCGTGGAAAATATTCATTTTTTGTGTGTTTAGTATCATAATGCTTAAAAGAATCAAACAAAAAATTGTATTATTTTACTGGTTGCCTTTTTTGGAAAATGATTAAATCAGGCATTCAAACTTTTAGACAGTCAGGATGCAGATCTCTGCATGTGGGTACAGTGTGTTTGTGGCAGAGGAGTGGGTGCATGTACACACACATGAATGCCCGTGTGTGTGCACGCGTGCGTGCATAGATGGAGGCATGTATGTGACTTTAATACACAGTTGGCTGTGTTAGTCTCATCTGTGGCATTCACCTAAGAAAAAATGCACTCACTCATGGAGCTGAGCCCTTCTTGAGAAGCTGCCAATTGTGCAGCTGCTGAAGAATTTCCCAGTATTTTATGGAACCCGAAGGTTCAGTATTGTGTTCACAAATGCCTCTCATTGGTCCCTGTCCGGAGCCAGATCAACTCAATCTATATCATCCCATCCTGTCTCTCTTGAGATATTTCTTCCACCACTGCCCTGAGCAAACCTGCCCTATACATACTTTTAACATTCCAAGTACCAAATCTCATATCCATTTTCTTTCACCTAGGTCGTTTATCCACAGGATCTGTCGAGGTCCGAGGCTTTTTAAACATTTTTGTAACAAGGTTATTTTTTACGGTGAGGAGTTGTTAGCCCCACGCCCAAGCCCCAAGCTGGAGGATCACCCCTTGTCGGCTGTCCATGACTGCTTATTCAGTATATTTGCAGCTTTCCTCTGTACCTGGAGGGCGTCTCCTCCATCCGCAACCTGAGGACGAACCATGTCATGGTGACAAGGGGCCCACCTCTCATGGAAGAAAAAATTAAGGCAGTAAAATATGGAATCTTTTGGATTCATTTTGAACTTCGAATCCAAAATATTTGTGAAAAGATATCACATGTTTTCTTTAAAAGAAATATTTCACTTTGCAGTTTTAAGATTTTGCTGTGCTATTTCCGGCTTTACCACATGCTGCTTTAAAATCATTAGGGTGTCAGTTCATGTGGTATTGTATGTATATTAGTCTGTAATCATGAACAAATGCTTAAATATTTGAGTGTTTTCTTCTTATATACTTCATTAGATTAAAACATCATATTTAAAGTTAGGGTTTACGTTTTAAAATGTAGTGTAAAACTTGTATGCTTATCAGCTATCTAAGAAAGAAAACTGACTGCAAGAATGAAAAACGTGGAAAGCACGCAGATTGTACAAGTACCACTGTGTGTACAAGTACCACTGTGGGATAGTATCATAGCACATAGATTTTGTGATTACAAACATAAATGAGGTACAACATTTATTTAAGTGGTCAGTGTTACTCTGTGCATACCAGTACAGGAATCAAGCGATGATACAAATTGTTAGC